TTTTTCAACTTGGTGTTCCAATAGATTTTTTTTTTTTTTTTTTTTTTTTTTTATGTCAGGGGAAGAAGAGTGTAGCTTTAGAGGTACATCACGTTTGGACTTGATCAAAAATGAGATTAAGCATAATGAGTTGTCACATTCAAGAAATGGCCCTAAAGAGCTTTGGCCAAGTGTATCGAACTATGTCCTCAATCTCACATCACCAGAAGATACAAACTCGCCTGTGGTGTTTCTATACTTTCTAGACTCCGGTGGCGGCTCCTATCCGCAAGTTATATCAAGTGCTCAAGCAGAATGGTTCAACTCTACAACTCGAATGATCAACCCCGATTCGAGGTATACGGATATGAAGACAATGCCATTTTGTATTTTTTCAACTTTGTATCGCGTTTTATGTACCGCTCAATGTTCTGTTTTTCATCGTGTGCGCGCGCGCGGTTTCTTTCGTTTATGTTTTGTCCTTTCCCTCTTGAAAGGAAGCTAAGTTCTAATTTTTCCCCATTTTTAATTTCCGTCTCTTGTCAACCAAAGAAAACCTTGTTTGACAGGGTGCCTGAGATAATTTTCTGGCATATACCGAGTACGGCATACAAGAAAGTGGCGCCGGTGTTTGGCATACACAAGCCTTGTGTTGGTTCAATTAACAGGGAGAGGGTTGCTGCTCAAGAAGCCGAAACCGGTATCATGAAACTTCTTGTTGAAAGGCCTTCTGTCAAGGTAAGGTGAAAACTATTGATTTAGTTGTTTGTACGAGGTTATGGATTAATGTACGTTGATTACATGCATACATTCAAGTAAATGTGTAGACAAAATGTGTCAACAAAAACATGTTCGTTGACAAAATTCCTATCTGCTGTTGAATTTTTTTGCATTGACTAGATGAACCTAATTTATGCAACATTGGACGAATGATTAGCCATATTAATTTCAAATATTTCTATAGATTTGTACTGCATAAATACACAATTTGAAAGCAAGAGGGCTTCCCCCTAAGCTATGACACAATCGAAGCATTCTCTAATTCCTGTCATTTTGTTTGATCCACCTCGTCTTAACACAACTCTGTTTCTTTCTTTCTTGTTCTGTTTTTCCTTGTTCTTACATTGCATAGATATCTTAGGATATCTCAACTTGATCCAGGAAACATGACAAAAAATAAGCGAATCCCGACCCACCAAACACGTAAGATCGCAACAATACACTTTACTACATGATCATTAAAAGGGTCCTTAGTTCCATGAAATCTTCCCAACTAAGAACACATATTGGTGGAAAGCTACCATGTAAATGGATTATAGATAGATTTGTTGAGACATGAAACTCAACTTAAGAAATAACTACTATGTGAACAAATGGGACCACTTTGGGTTGTTTTCGATTTTTCTTTTGTGGCAGGCTGTATTTGTGGGACACAACCATGGTCTTGACTGGTGCTGCCCCTACAAGCAACTTTGGCTGTGCTTTGCCAGGCATACTGGTTATGGTGGCTATGGAGGCTGGCCTAGAGGAGCTCGAATACTGGAAATCACTCAAAAGCCCTTCTCTCTAAGATCTTGGATAAGGATGGAAGATGGTCGTGTGCATAGTGAAGTTGTCCTCACTCCTTAAGGTGCTTCCCTTTGATTATTTGTACCACAAAATGAATTTTTTTTTTTTTTTTTTCATAAGAAAAAAGAATTTCATTGATAATGATCAGTAAAAGACTAATACGTACCACAAAATGAAATGAATAATAGAATAATGTATATAGCAAAGGATACAATGAAGAATATCTACAGCTGTTGGAGATCCTAATCATGAATTACACACTTGTTCAGCGTAAACATAACGGTTTAGAGTTATTTCTACTTCAAGTTTATCTTTATTGGGACTATCTAGGATTTTTATATAAGTTTATCTGATAAGTACGTCATGTTTATCTTATTATTAAGGCCTGGTAATTGTATTTTTTACTTGAGTGATTATTATTAACAATACCAATTTCCCGCCTGTTGTTCTCTTTCTCTCTAAATTCTTCTTGTTTCCCTTAAATTTATTTTCTTTCTTTTGTCTTTGCCCTACATCATTTGAGTTCAAGCTTAGTAACTAGCTACCTTATTGTATTTTAGACTGCAGTTTTGTTGGTCAATCTTCCTCATGTTCATGCAAAAACCATTCTGTTGGTATATGATCAAGTAATAATAATTATGCAAACAAAGATAAACGACAATATTGTAGTGATGTACTCTAATGTGTAACGTGCTTATCTCACCAAAAAAAAAAAAAAAAAAAAAAAAAAAAAAAGAAAAAAAAGAAAAAAAAAAGAGCACTCTAATGTGTAACGTACCCGTACTCGAGTTACACAAACAAAAATTATGGTGTTATAAAACTTTACCATCACTGGAGGTAAAGTTTTTGTCATTTTCTACTTAATATCCATTATTGGAAGGTAAGGTTTTTGTCGTTTTTTACTTTATACCAGTTATTGGAAGGTACTATTTTTGTCGTTTTTTACTTTATACCCATTATTGGAAGGTAATATTTTTGTCGTTTTCTACTTTATATCCACTATTGTAAGGTAAGTGTTAATTACTATTTTATTATTTATTTTATTAGTATTATTATTTTGTTTGAACAAGTGTCACTTACTTAGGTAACCTCAAAAAACAGCGATTCGTAGGCAAAAGTAGATAATGATGTCACTCATGTTGGTGAAAATTCATCAACAGAATTATATATATTTCTTAACGGTTTGCATGAATTTGATGATATAAAACGTAAATAAAAATTAAATTAAAGTAAGAATACACAAAATTAATAGTGGTTCAATCTTAATTTGAGAGTTATGTCTGCTGTGAGAAGGAGAGAAATTTTACTATTTTGAAAGAGTTTACACGCACTATTACTCAAGATGAGATTAAGGATTTTTTTACTTATAATTTCTTATTTATACAGTAGGTCACCACATCTGACTGTTCCCTTATACAAATTTGGTGATATTTTTTTTATGTTTTAGGATAGTTTCCCAAAAAATAAAAATAACAATCAATTAGAACAGTTTCTATATTTAAATTTCATATTTTAGATTACAAATAGTAAATCTCAGAGAGAATCCTTTAGATCATTATCTTTGCGTAACCTCGACTCTGTAGATACTTCCTTTAACCTCTCCACTATTGCCGGTAAGTGCAATCAACCTCATGCCCTCTTTTCACAACGGTCGACCTGTTACTTATATCCGATGTCTTCTTGTAACGGTCGACTTTAAATAAAACTGCTTACTTACGTGGCTGCTAAATATGTAGTGTAGACCCCATTCAGGGTCTATTTTAGAGTTTGACATTTACTCTATAACTTATTTTCTACAAATACAGATAAGACAAAAATAAAATAGTAATAAATGTGCTATGATGAACTTCCCATATAAATTAAATTATGTATCTTTTATGCAAAATAATTAAATTATGTATCTTTTTTGAAAATAAATTGAATTATGTATCTTAATTTTATTTAAAAAAAAAATCCCCTATTTTGAAGAGACCAAGGAACAGAACTCTCTTTTATCTCCAAAACCAGAGCTCTATGGCACATTAAATAAATTTTCTGCAGCTAAAGGGAAGGATAATCTTTTCATTTTGGATTAAAAAAAAAAAAGAGAGATTCTGCGGATCATTGGATTTAACCTCATGAATTCTTCAAGATTTGAACCAAAATTTGAATGTCAAAAAAATGCATTAAAAACCAACAAAAACCCAAAATAGCAACCTGCAAGAAAACGCCAGGCAAAACAATTGACCAAAGTTTCCAAGACCCCACGGCTCAATTGTACTATCGATCCTCCACATTAATTGAAGAAGCCTGTGATCCTTCTTCTAATCCATCTTCGCTCTCAGAGGTGAACGCTTCTTCCTTTTTCTTCTTGTTCCTTCTGAGAAATACCTCGACTCCGAGACAAGAAGAAATTCAACTTCAACAAAAAGTCTTATCGTCCACCAAGAACCCACTCGAGGGATTATGGAGATTTTCCAGTGAGAGAAAATTTCCAAAACCGTAGGCCTTGTTGTACATATCAGATGGATTGAAACAACGGCTGACTGCATGAAAACAAAACGTGTGCAAACAGTATAAGAACATAGAATGTGGCTCATGAATAAACAATACATAGAAAGATGGATATGAAAGATAAAATCTACGGCCCCATTCACTTTGCTGATTCGAATTTGTAATTCGAGTTGAGATGTGATTTTGTGTGAGAGTTTTTTACTGTAACAAAAACGTTAGATGTGACTGTTTTTGAGAGCTTTTTACTGTAGTAAAACTCGAATTCTAAACTCAAATCGGTAAAATGAACGAGACCTACGTATGTTTTCTACAAATGTTTTTAGGAATTAATAGGAAAACGTCACAGTTTCAGGTTAAAATGGGTCACAGTCACCTGAACGCTCTGTGTTTTTACCGTTGACTGTGTCAAGCAGTCGTAGCTCGAACTCTGCATATGTCGCTGCTTTAGTCGCGTTGTTGCTTCCACAGAGACATAGAGTTGGAGCTAAATATAACGAGAGGGCTTTACCCTTAAAAGGGTGTAATCCATTAGGATAAATCTTTAACTTCCTGGAATCAGTGGAAAATTTGAGAGTTCAATACTCTTAAAGCTACAAGAAAACCAACTCCAAATAGAAAAAGGAAAATTCTTGGAAAAGATGTCGCACCACAATGTTCTTCCAACAGAAAACATTTCAGATAGATAAAAATCCTCGTCTAACTCCGAGAAATTCTCAACCTCCCACGTAAAAGTAGAGTTTTTAATGTTGGGTGCCTTAACGAAGGAAAGAGATTCCCACTTGCCGGTGTTCTTTATGACAAAAACCTCTGCTCCAAACATGCAAGAGTCATCGACAAGGTATCCATTTGAAGGATCCTTAAAAGTTTCAAGTGGTAGTAATGAAAATCCTTTCCTACATAAGACAGAAATTTCTGCAGAAACATTATTAGCCAAAAACCAGGTGATTAATGATGTGAAAATTACCAGTCCTGGTTCAAACATCCGTAAAAAAAATGCCAAATCATACTTTCCAAGCTCTACGAGTTTGTCCATTTTACCTCTCTCTTTTATTGTTTAAAAATAAATAGTCTCAAAGAGGAAATACTATCAACAGACAACCGAACAACACCAAAGAGCAGATTATACTCGTGACAAAATGTTAGAATACTCTCATTATGCCGAAACTAGGGCATGTGGCATATTTACTTCACAAGAATGATAAAGGGAAGGAGGATTGCTTCCCTTTCACACCTATTCATGTGTTTACTTACCACAACAGAAATGGTAATCTAGTGAGCCTACGTCATATAGGGAACGAAACTTCATTAGTACGTTCTTATATGCTCTTATCAACATGATTGATAATCTAATTATAGACGGGACATTTTTAGTACTTCTCTTTTGCTTCAAAGACATTTTTTAATACTTAAATTGACAAAATTTTTTCATTTTCCCAAATTTAGTAAACAGAAAAAGGGGAAGTTAATTTCAAAATTCTTACGACACCACTGATGCTAAGCACGACCAATAATACAAAATGAGCCTCGTCTATTTACCCTATGTTATGGTACCAAGTTTCTATAAATATGCAATAGTCAACACCACCAGTACCCTTGCATTGTTCTTTCTTTTTCAAAAAGATTCAAACCACACTAGTTTGAACCTGTGAAATAAACGAGGTCAAATATTTTATTTCTTAAGCGACATTCACTATGGGGTAATCTCAGAGGTAGGAATAAGAATCTTTTAGATTCTCGTATTTAGTATAATTATTAGACTTTTAAAACCCAGAAAAGTGACACCACGGGTTTCACATTGCTACATTTTAGAGTAATCATAAACTCACCTAATATGGTATTATTTATGGCTCGTTTAGTTCATTAATTCGAGTTGAGATGTGACTTTATGTGAGAGCTTTTTATTGTAGTAAAAAAGGTAGATATAACTATTTCTGAGAGCTTTTTACTATAACAAAACTCAAATTCTAAACTCAAATCGGTGAAATGAATAGCCTCAGGCCCCGTTCTTTTCGCTGATTCGAGTTTAGAATTCGAGTTTTGTTACAGTAAAAAGCTCTCAGAAACAGTCACATTTAACTTTTTTGCTATAGTAAAAAACTCTCACACAACATCACATCTCAACTCAAATTAAAAACTCGAATTAGCGAACTGAACGGCCCTACTTTTTCAAGAAAGTAATATTACGGAAAAAAAGAAATAATCTGCCCTAACCTCCCTCTCACCCATCTCTTCCCAGCCCAACCGCCTGTCTCTCGTCCATCCTGGTTGAGTCTCTTCCGTCGACCACGCCGCCGCCGCCTTCCGAACCACCACGCTATCGCCGGACATATCTAGCCCTAACCTCTCTCTGACCCATCTCTTCCCAGACCCAGCCGCCTCTCTCTCGTCCAGCAGCTAGAAAGGAGATCAATAATTATTGCTCTCACTTCTTTAGCTTTCCATTATGTTCCGTTACTGTTTAGTACACATGCCCTAAGACAGTTTTCCTATTAGAGTAGGTTTGTTCACACCACATGCTCGCCCAAAAAAAAAAAAAAAAAAAAAAAAAAAGCCAACTAATTAATGACAACGGATGCTTGATGTTCTGCACAGTAAAAAGCATTTATTCACAGTTCGTATATTAAAAACAGAGCACAAAATGCGAAGGAAAAAAAAAAAAATTGAAAAAACCTCGATTAGGGCGAAGCTGATAATCTCCCGCTTCCAAGCCCTCAGTTCGTTGCCTTTTATGGCCTGAATAAAAAAATAAAATTAAAATAAAAAATCATACTTACGATATCATTATATAATTCAAGAGTCTTTCAGGCGCTAATTAGATATTAAAAAGAAAACCTCTACCGGTTTGCATGGTTGGTGATTGAAAAGAGCCTGAAAGTGGAGGGAATGAATTTCTTCATGGAAGAAAATGGAGGGAATGAGAGGGAAAATGTGTTTTTCTCAGGCCAGGCCCAGCATCGTCATTGTCACCCTGGCCCGTTACTAAAAACGACAGCAATTGAAATGTCAATGGCTATGCGCAACCAACTAGACCGCTTATTTTAGACGAAATGCAAACCAAACCCATTATAGAAATTTTCTAACTAAACTAAACAATTAAGCCCCGCTCATTTCACTGATTCGAGTTTAGAATTTGAGTTTTACTACAGTAAAAAGCTCTTACAAACAATCACATCTAACTTTTTTACTACAGTAAAAAGCTCTCACATAAAATCACATCTCAACTCGAATTAAAAACTCAAATCAGCGAACTAAACGAGCCCAGAGATCTAATTTAATTCAAACAAAATGAATTCTAATTGGTTTAGTTTGGTTTTTCTAATTGGTTTAAATTAATTTTTTGTAACTTCTTCTCAAGTCTCAATCATAATTAGTTTTAATATTTTGTATGATAGACATTTTATTATTTTTTAACTGTAAATATCAATAACTTAAGAATGAAATATATCAAATCTAAACAGAAATAAAACATCTAAAGTTAAAAATTAAATATCCTGAACGAAATTAAAACTTTCAAATCCATAAAACATAATATACTAAATTTGCGACTTAGAACAAATCCGACTTTAATTCTAAAGTCTTATAGAGGTTATATTTACATTAACAAAGAGTAAGAGAATCACGATCACACTTTAGAGCCCAGAAGAGTGGACAATGAGAGAGACGAGCGGAGAAAACTTGAGGGTAGACTGTGAGATAGTGTTAGTAAATATATATATATATATTATATTATGGTAGAAACTTCTAGGATCATCATCATTAGATTTTAAAATAAACCCCTTTTTTTATTATAAATAAGTTATAGAAATATAGAACATATATACTTATAGAAAAATATAGTTGGATAGAAAATGGTTTGGTTTTTTTTTTTTAGTTCGATTTTCTTTTGGTTTGATTTAGTTTGATTGGTTTGAATAGTTTGTCTCACATCCCTATATCACGCTATCTAAAAATACTTGAGCATAAGAAACGACCTTACTTTTAGAAAGGACAATTACATGAATAAAATGACGCCTTCATCTGAAAAACGATAACATTTGATTGAACGATATTGTCTGGACAAATTTCTCATTTAATTTTTTTTAAATAATTAAAAAAATACAAAAGTTGCATTGATTACATGGAAAAAATAAACATTTCAACTAATAGTAATTAAATGACAAATTTCTCATATGCTATATTTGGTGAAAAATTTGCCACCAAGTATAGCATATGGGAAATTCGACACAACAAATAACATTACATTAGAGAGTATTTTTTACACTCAAATGTTAAATTTGTAATTGGCAGATTAATTATAGCATTGCATTGGAAATGCTCTTATGCTATTTACTACTTTTTATAAAATGTTATGCTATTATTTTCTAATCATTATATAAAATATGCTATTTTCTCCATTTTCTCATGTGAAATAATGGGTGTGTTTGGAATGATTTTGTTTTCAATAAAAAGTAAAAAGGAGATTGTTTTGAGAATAACTCTGGGACCGATTCTGAAAATGCGTTTGGTTGGTTTTTTAAGAGATTGTTTTGAGTATAATAAAAAGTGAAATCGTGTTTGGTTATAATTATTAATTAATATATTATAATATTGTTGATAAGTACTAAAAAATAAAAACAGAAAAATGAAAATAACTTTTAATTATTTTCTAATCCCTTCATAAAAATTATTCTCATTGTTTTCGTTTTCATTTTCGTTTTCAAAACATTGGCTAAACAAACGTATTTTGTTTTCATTTTCATATTTTACTTCTCGAAATACGTAAAAAAACGTTTTTAAAAACGGTTTTAAACACGCACAATACTTATTGGTGTCAAATTTGACGTTAGCATTGACATTAGAATTTGAGATGGTCTAATAGCAACCAAATGCTATAAAATTTGGCATATAATACTTAGTGCTAAATTTGGCATATCTTATTTGGTGCTAAATAGCATTTGCTGAATTTTACATAAAAATGGCATTGTCATGTAGCACAATGAGCTTTTCTACTCTAATTGCTAAAATTTGGCATTAATTTGGATCTCCGTTGCACAAGTGGAGGATCTCTTTCTGCTATATATGGTCTCTAATGCGGAGAGGGAGGAAGAAAATTATAAGGACGGATTTCTGAATATATTCTGATATCGGTGTTTTTTGTATTCTGTAGTGTAGTAAATTTGGGTTTACAAAATTGTCATATACTATATTTCCCATATAATTCTTCTCTTTATTTTCATTCTTCGCCTAAAATAGTCTATTTGCCCCCTCCCTAATTCCCACCCTCCAAAAATTCTACCACCTTCAAATATTGTACATTCAAAATTTTTAAGAATTCATTTACATAAATAAGAATTGTCTGAAATTTTTATTTAAAAATTGTCTAATATAAAGAAACTTTAACCAAATAAATAAATAATTTTTAGAAAATAATTACTATTTTCATATTTATTAGATATTTAATTATTGATCATTTTTGCAAACCTGTCATTCATTTTCAATATCGAAATTTCAGAATTTTCTAGTATCTGCAAAAGGGGCAATTAGCTCATGTATATATTAAATAGCAATTCTCTTGTCAAGTAAATAAAAATGAGATAAAAATTAAATCTCATAACACATTACTATCACAATATTAATAACAACAAAGCATGCACTATTGTAGAATCCCTTGTGGTAAAGGGAAATCACTTCCTGCAACACCATATTCCCATTTGGTAAAAAGAGACGTACATATGAAAAGATGCACTTTAACTAATTAAGACCTCATTCGCTTTGCGGATTCGAATTTTCAATTTGAGTTGAGATGTGATATTTTCTGAGAACTTTTAACTGTAACAAAAAAAATTAGATGTGATATTTTCTGATAGTTTTTAAGTGTACAAATTTAAAATTGAAAATTTAAATCGGTGAAATGAACTGAACTTAAATAATTCCTCAGCCTCCGCTTGGACCTTTACTTACGACACACAGTACGTATCATTCTCACTTAACTAAAACTGATTCCATATTTAGATTGTTTGTTTGGGAAGAAAAGACCCCAATGCTTCTCATATTCCGGACTCTTCTGATTCTCATCAAACATGGCAAACACATACATCTCAATAGCCCTTCCTGGCCAACCGGTCTCCGACACGACGACCTCCAGCGACCCTCCACCGGCCTTCTCCAAGGCAGAATAAACGGCATCCAAGATGGCATCGAAAAGATTCCGATACCCGAATTGCCCGTCTCGCACCACAACAGATTGCGCCGTGAAAAGCGCGTAGTCAAGACAAATATCTCTCGTGTTGCTAATGTAGCTAACGTAAGGATACGAGTTGACAAGCACCGGCGATCTGTTGTTAACAAGGAAGTGTATCAAAGGGTTTATAATCGGCTCGTAGTCTGACCTAAAGGTGCCTCTTGACGGAGGGTAGGACTCGCTGAGGACCGCCGGTGTCGAGTGCTGTGGAGACCTTGATTCGGTTGGCGAGGCCTGCCCGGGAGATTGCGTTTTGGATCTTTTCCATGGCGGGGACGAGGAATTGAGTGGCATAGTCTGAGGTTTTGATCTCGTTTCCAACGGCGATGTATCTGAACCTGACGTTCTTGTAGTTTTTAATGTTGTTTTGGACCCCAAGAGTTGGCTTCGGATTGGCTTTTGGCAATCCTTTTGAGGTCCTCGTTTGGGAGGCCGAGGATTAAGTCGATGTTGGTGCTGCGGAGGGCTGGGAGAACGGATTGGTATGGGGCGTAGAGACGCATCCGGCGGATGTTGTTTCGGTTGTAGAGAGATAAGACTTCTTTTGGTGGCGACAAGTTGTTTCCCAACAATCCGTAGCATATTCCAATTTGTGCATCTGCAATGTTGATTTGATTTGATCAAATACATGTGAACATGATACGAAAAAAAAAAAATTACATAATTCAAGGATGTTTTGAATGATTTTATAAAATTTAGGTGATGCATAACCTTATTCAAAACTCAAACTAAGCATGTTGACTTAGAGTGTATATAGATCATTGTATTAATGAAATTAATCCTAAATAAAATGCTTTGTGAGATAAACGCATGTGAATGAGACCTTTTTTTTTCTTTACGCTTGCAATTAGCATCACAAGTAGCAAAATTGTGGAAATCATGGAAAAACTTTTACTGGGTGAATAGGAATTTGCCATAATTGTGGGAGAAGACTATGACATCGTTCATTTCACCGATTTGAGTTTTCAGTTTTAGGTTTTTACAGTTAAAAGCTCTCAGAAAGTGTCACATCTAACTTTTTCTGTTATAATTAAAAGCTTTAAAAAAATATCACATCTCAACTCAAATTGAAAATTTGAATCCACAAAGCGAACGAGAACGTATATGTTAGAGATTGCAAATAATTTTGCCTCGAGAACTGCCACTCTTAGCAGCCCTTTTATAGAGATAAGAAATATATAGAATATGAGTACCGGTTCAAATCTCCAACCCAGAAAAGAGACAACACCAAAAGCTTACGTCATTAGCTTGGATATAATAGTGTAGCTTACGAGGCGTAATCACAATTTGATCACTAATTCGATGTTGATGTTAATCGATATAAATTAAATCGTATAAATCATGTTGGTAAATTTTATATTAATATTTCATATAAATATACCTTCTGTTGTCCGTATAGAGAAAATATATTTACCATGAAGCATCACCGAATTTATCCATAACACACACATAGTAAATAACATGAGCAAAACATTATAATTAATTAGTGAGTAGAATTCATGCATGATAAGGGCAAAGCTGTTTCAGTTTTTATTTATTTATTTATTTATTATTACTATTTTTTTTTTTTTTTTGGTGTTAGAGTCTTAGAGAAATAGAAAGTGGTTCCATATTCATTATAATCTGCCAAACCATTTAATGGTCATTACTGCTTGGAGAATGGCAAATGCCTAACACAATTGACTTAAAATACCAGAAGTCCATTAATTTTCCTCGTAAGAAATTAATACCAGTCAATTGCTTCTATATACATTGTTTAAATGGTTCTAGGAAGCTAACTGTTGCTTGACTCAGTATTTATTCTTTTGTTTTATTGGTTTTAGTTTCATGTTAAAAGTTCTACAAATTTTCGTATATCTTATTTCTTAAAGACTTGAATGGGGCTGCTAGAAAAAAAAAATATATATATATGACTGTGTGTTCGTGTATGAATTATTTATATGTATATATGTATGTGTATATTTTTGCTTTTATTAATTAATGATGGCTTGAGTTGGGGCTGCTGGACTTGGTTACTTGAATTGGTGACGACCGCAAAAATATCATGAGCACATCGACTTGAATATTTTTATATGTATTTCTTCTTTCTATATACAACGGAACTTGTCCTTTAGGGAATCTAGAAAGCACCGGGACTTTGGTCAATGCGGCTTTTCTTTCCTTCTTTATCAGCCTATATTGTAAACGAGGTTTAGATCTGTTTGGCAGAGTTTTAAATACAATATTATAAATTACCTCATTTTAACATTTTTCTAAAAAAAAAAAAAAATGAATCTTATGTAAACATGATAAATTCACTGTCGTTTAGTTGTCTTCGCCTTTTTTTTTTCTTTTTCTTTTTTTTGAAGCAATGTTATCTTTCCCTTGAATCCCTTGAAGGGATTCATATTTATTTTTAGAAAAGATGGAGAGAGACTTCAAAGAACGAGAATTTGTTTATCGTTGTCACTTTACTTTAACCAAAACGTTGTGTCTTTAGTTTAATTTGTTAAGGAAAAACAAAGATGTGCCCCCCCCACCCCCCCGACCGCAAGAGGACCCGCGTAGGAGGAACGCCATCCTCGTAGAGTCTACGTCGGTGCACGGTGGAGACCTGAGGGCAAGGCTCGACGCCAGACACGGGAAGGCCGTATAGCTAATGAGGGAAGATGAGCTCGCAGCAGACAATAAGGCTCTGGCCGAGAAGATGGCCAAGCTGGAGAAGCAAATTGGGAGTCGACTGAACAACTTTGAATAGGTTGTAGGGAAGGTGGCCGAGGCAGTTAACGTCGACGCCAAGATGTACACGTCTCAAGACCACCCGTTCACGAAAAACATCATCCGGGTCCCACTTCCTGACAAGTACAAGTTGCCTTCCATTCCGCTATACGACGGAAGGAGTGACCCGGACGACCACTTGGAGGTGTACACAGGACACATGGTCCTGCATGGATACCCCGAGGAGGTGATGTGCCGGGCATTCAGGAATCACCTTTCCGATTTCGTGAGGAGATGGTTCAGGTCCCTGAAACCAAACTCCATCACCAGCTGGGATGATCTCAAGAATGCCTTTTTGACTTAGTTCATAGGTGTCAAGGAATACATCCCACCAAAACAGAACCTGTCGAGGGTATACCAGGGACCTAACGAGTCCCTGAAGGACTGGATAGTCCGGTTTGGGGAACAGGTCGCCGCCACTGAGGGAATCTCCAATGAAGTGGCCTTGATGGGGGCGCTGTCCAGCATGAAGAAGGACATCCCCTACAGCACAGACCTCGACCGGAGGCCGCCCCACACCTATCAGGAATTCCTGACAAGGGCGCAGGGGTTCATTAACGCCGAGGAGGCAAAAAAGGCCCTGAAGAGCAAGGCGGCAACCCCCGCCAAGGAGGAGGTGGTACAGGCGAGCAGTCAGAATAACGGCAAGAAGCGCCGAAGTCCTCCTCAGGTGCAAGCCGAGCAAAGGTACAACCTGGCTCCGAGCAATAAGGGCGGTAACGCCTCGACGAGCCAGGGAGAAACCAAGCGGCCAAAGCCACAATGGTACGACGCCTACACACCCCTAACTATAGGGATCGAGGACGTCTACCACGAGATCAGCCATCTCTAGGTCCTGCGTCGACCTCCACCTCTGAAGTCTGACCCGGCACGGAGGAACCAGAACAAATACTGCCGGTTCCACGGCGAGAGTGGTCACACCACGACCCAGAGCTATGACCTGAGAGATGAGGTCGAGAGGTTGATCCGAGAGGGGAGGCTCGGCGAATACCGAGCCGACCGTCGGAACAACAATCGGCGCAACAACGATCGACGGGACGAGCAGAGGCACGATAACCCGCCCGAACCAGTTAGCGTTATAAGAACAATCTTCGGGGGACCATACCTCGGCGATACATCTCGACGCGCACAGAAGGAATACGCTCGAGAGGCGAAGGAGAAGTTCAGCCAAAGGATCATGAACGTCTCTGGACGCGAGGCTAAGGCCGCGCGATATGAAGACGCCGAGATCACTTTCTCGGAAGTCGACGCGAGGGGGGTACATTTCCCCCAGAGCGATGCCTTGGTTGTCGAGGCCATGATCGGTAACCATACGGTTTGCCGCATCCTGGTCGACAATGGCAATTCCGTGGACATCTTGTACGCGAACTGCGTTGACAAGATGGGGATTCCCCGCTCACGGCTGCAGAACAGTGCCCAACCTCTGTACGGGTTCACGGGGGACAACGTCATCCCGGAAGGGGCTATCGAGCTGCCTATGACCATTGGAGACCGACCACACACTTCAACCGTTATGTCAAAGTTCCTGGTAGTGAAGGGAGACGACCAATACAATGCGGTCATAGGACGTCCGACACTAAGGGCCTTGCGGGCGGTAACATCTATCTATCACCAGGTGATGAAGTTCCCTACGCCAAATGGGATCGGCAAGGCCAGAGAAAACTAGTATGAGTCGAGGCTCACGTACTCAGAAACCGTCCGCCACTACGCCGAGCCGACACAGGTGCGGAGAGAGCTGCGAATGGTCGAGACTAGGGCAGAGGGGCTCGACTTGGATCCAAGGTTCCCAGGAGAAGAGCCCGAAACAGGACCGGTCGAGGAACTAATTGAGGTCCCCATCGATGAAAGGGACCCAACGAGAACACTGAGGATAGGCTCGGAGTTGGGGGCACAGGCCCGGGAAAGACTGGTCGAGTTTCTGAAGGGGAGCCTCGATGTGTTCGCCTGGACCCACGAGGACATGGAATGGATAAGCCCCGACGTCATGTGTCACCGTCTGAACATTGACGAGAAGTTTTCGCGAAAAAGATAGAAGCGTCGACCTATGAACGCCGAGAGATCCGAAGCCCTGCAGGAAGAAATCGACAAACTCATGAGGAACAACTTCATCCGAGAAGTCCTGTACCCTGAGTGGGTGTCGAATCCCGTATTGGTGAGGAAGCCAAATAGGGAATGGCGAACGTGTGTCGACTTCAGTGACCTGAACAAAGCGTGCCCTGAGGACAGCTTCCCACTACCCCAAATCGACCAGCTGGTCGACGCCACGGTAGGACACGAACTACTAAGTTTCATGGACGCGTATTCTGGGTACAACCAGATACCAATGCTCGACCGCGATGAAAAGCATACGGCGTTTGTTACCGACAGAGGGCTCTACTGTTACAGAGTAATGCCCTTCGGTCTCAAAAACGCTGGAGCAACCTACCAGCGCCTCGTCAACAAGATGTTAGCGGGGCAAATCGGAAAGACTATGGAGGTCTACGTCGACGATATGCTGGTAAAGAGCAGGAAGACTGAAGACCATGTGGAGGACCTGGGAAGAATATTTGGTGTCCTCAGAACGTACAAAATGAAGCTAAACCCTCGGAAGTGTGCCTTTGGCGTCGCTTCAGGGAAGTTCTTGGGTTTCATGGTGAGCAGCTGAGGAATCGAGGCCAATCCGTAAAAGATTCAGGCCTTCCTCGACATGGCATCGCCAAGGAAGCCTAAGGAGGTCCAGAAGCTGACAGGCTGTGTGGCCGCACTTAATAGGTTTATCTCCAAATCCACAGATAAGTGCATACCGTTCTTTGACACCCTAAGGGGAAGCAAGCCGTTTCTATGGACAGAAGAGTGCGAACAGGCGTTCCAACAACTGAAGGAACACCTTGGGAAACCCCCTATGCTTTCCAAACCTGTGACCGGGGAGGTGTTGAGCCTTTACCTGGCGGTCTCGGAACACGCCGTTAGTTCGGTGTTAATCCGCGAAGAGAAGAAGGTGCAGCTGCCGGTGTATTACACTAGCCAGCGCCTCCTCGACGCGGAGACGAGGTATCCCCAGATGGAAAAGCTCACCCTCGCGCTAGTTGTGATAGCGAGGAAGTTACGGTACTACTTTCAGGCCCATAGCATTCAGGTCTTGACCAACCACCCCCTCAGGCAGGTGCTACAAAAGCCCGACGCCTCTGGTCGACTCCTTAAATGGTTAATAGAGCTCAGCCAGTTTGACATCGACTACAAACCACAGACCGCTATTAAGGGCCAAGCCCTGGCCGACTTCGTGGCAGAGTTTACAGGGCTACCAGCCGAGGTCGAGGGAATCGACGAACCACCGCGATGGAAGCTCTACGTCGACAGTAGCTTTAAAAACAACGGCAGTAGGGCAGGATTAGTGTTACACACACCTGAAGGACACAAGGTTACCTCGGCCATCAGATTCGAATTCCCCGCGTCCAATAACGAAGCAGAGTACGAGGCGCTGCTCGCCGGAATCCGGTTAGCGGAGCACTTAAAAGTTGAAAACCTCGACATCTTCAGTGATTCACAGCTCATTGTGAATCAAGTGAAGAGACAGTACTAGACCAGGGATGAGAAGATGGCTGCATATCTGAAGAAGGTTAAGGAAGCCCTGGGGAAATTCACGACCTATGACATACAGCAGGTGCCAAGGGCGGAGAATAGCAACGCCAACGTCCTCGCCAAGCTGGCGACGTCGAGAGATGCCGAGCTTTTGAACCTGGTACCCGTAGAGGTTTTGAAGACCCCGACCACAGAGAAGCGGCCCGAAGTCGCACCAGCGGATTTCCAGCCCAGCTGGATGGACCCGATCATCAGGTACTTGGTCGACGGTGAGCTTCCTGAGGACAGGCAGCAGGCCAAAAAGATGAAGTATCAAGCGGCAAGATACACAATGCACGACAACCTCCTCTATCGCAGGGGGTACTCGACGCCCTTGCTCAGGTGCCTCAGCGTAGAGGAGGCAAAGAGGGTGCTATCGGAGGTGCACGATGGAGTTTGCGGGAACCACGCGGGAGGACAGTCCCTAGCCTACAAAATATTACGGCAACGGTATTTACTGGCCCAGTCTCAAGAAAGATGCGGCCAAGTACGCGAAAAAGTGCGAGAGCTGCCAGATGTATGCCCTCACCCCTCGACTGCACTCAGAGGACCTAACATCCATACTATCTCCCTGGTCCTTCGCAAATAGGGGCTTGACCTTATTGGTCCCCTGCACAAAACCCCAGGGAGGTACAAGTTTGCTATTGTCGCCGACGACGACTTCACGAAGTGGGTCGAAGCTGAGCCATTGACGACCATCTCGGAGGCAAAATGCACAAACTTCTGGTCGATGGGAAAATAACACCTATTTTCTACTCGCAAGTGCACGAGGTCGACAAGTAATAAAGTGGTGAGTGAGTGTCGTGTCCCATGAGGATTGTGTTCCTAAAATCTAGCTAAGTATCACAACTAGAATAACCCAGTTTTATCTAGACAAGTCCAATCATGAGAATGAGATCATTCAAAACAAAAAATAAAATGCTAAACTAATTAGACGAGCAAATCAAACAATGAAAGAAACTTTTGGGATCGAAGGGAGATCTGATGATAAGGTAGCTAGGGTCCTTGATTTCACCTTGCCTAATTATTCTAATCCTTTTTTAATGCTATTGATTTCTCTCAAGCCAAACATTAACATGAATTTCCTAAAATAATCCAACTCCCTCTCTCGAGTGCCGAGTCAAATATATGCAAAATCACTTAATTAATATCCCTATTAATCAAGTTAATTGTGCATTCATTAAGCTCTAATTCATTTGTGATTACCTAGCTCATATTCATCTCTCGACTCCAATACTCACTAGGCTGTGTTCAACAAATCCCAACATGTGCAAGTGACTCTCTCAAGCCTAAATTCACATATCTAAATCTTCTAATCAATCTTTCAATTTATTAAAGCATTAAGCAAAGAAGAGCACAAATGTTTGGGCATGGAAAACATCAAATAGCCTCAAATATTCATAGCATAATCGTAGCAAGGTTACATCAAGTCCCCTAACATAAGAATCTAGCCACGCATCAATATAAACTCAACTAAATTCAAGATTAAACAAATATGAAAATACATGATAAATCCGTAAAATAGAGAAAATACTAAGTCTAAGAACAAGAGAAAAGGGAGAGGAAGAAAAATAAAACTCAGTGTAGTCCAGCTCCCAATCTCCAAGAACTCCCTCCTGATTCCCCAAAAAAAACTAGGGTTTCTCCCCTCTGTCTGCTGCCCCTGAAAAACTATTTCTCCTTTTTTTTTCCAACTCCTATCCGCCTCCTATTTTCTTTTGCCCGGCCAAATTCTATAGGCCCCCCTCAGAGCACGCGGGCGCGCTGTTGGGTTGGGGGAACAGCGCGCGGGCGCGCGTCTGAAGTAGGTGGAACTACGCCTAGCGCGCGGGCGTGCGCCTTAAATCGCGCGGGCGCGCTGGGGGGGCAAGGGCGCGGGCGCTTCCAAGTGATCCAATTCTTCTTTGTTTACCTGAATCACTCACAAACATATTAAAACAACCTAAAAACTTGAAGATACAAGCAATTATTCCATTTTCGGACATTAAATGAATGAGTTAAAACTCACTCAACAAATACCCCCAAACTTGAACAATTGCTTGTCCTCAAGCAAAACAAAACAAAATTAAAGAGAGGAACGAAAACAACGAGAAAGGAAAACAAAAAACTATACATGAGCCAAGTTTCGAATTGATAGCCAAGAACATTTATCACAAAGGTTAAGAGTACCACAGCTCGAAGGAAATGCCTAACACCAAAGTTGTCTAGAATTTCGGCTCCCATGCTAGTAACGATTCAAACAAGATTCCCTCAATGTGTGTGTGCACAACCAAGACCACTTCATCAACGATAGCACCCGGATAAATTTATGCAATTAGGCGGTAATGTAAAGGTCACTCATAAAATTCTAGATAATTCCATAAGCTCATCTTTCGTGCTACTCTCCACTAATGTGGGTTGAGATAAAATTGAGGATCATTAGGGCTTTTTATTTTTTTTTTTTGAGGGTTTTAAAGCAAGGGGAGGGGGTACGGGAGATGGGATGGGAAATTTTTTTTTTTTTTTTTTTTTTTAGGGTTGTAACGCAAGGCTAGGGTGTACGGTAGATGAGATGGGAAATTTTAGGCTTAAGATCACCCTAGGCATGAAGTGCACCCCATAGATCTTGCATGAATGATTGGAAACTCACACACAACTCCCACTTTACTCAATTCTCTATTTGCCATCATTCCCACAACACTTTATTCATGAATAAACTCGAAACATAAAAACAAGAATTCCATAAGAATTTATTGTCTTCTTTTTTTTTTCCCTTTTTTTTATTCTTTCTGTCTTTCTTTTTTTTTTAATCATCAAATAAAATGCTCAACACTTTCATGTTTGCTCTCAACAATTATATCTTCAAATTCATGCAATGATGCAAACATGCCCATAAATGATAGGTTAAGTGAAGGAGTTTCATAAAATGGCTAAGTTAATTTATGTGGGTAATGAAAGAAACGGGGTCACATAGGCTCAATGGGGGAGACTAGTGGTAAATTTTTCATAGGTTAGCTATTTAAGGCTCAAACGATCCAAGAAAATGCCTAAATCATTTCTCCAACAACACCCCAACCTAGGATTTCGCCT